AGGTACAATCCCATAGTCCTACTTCTCCATTCTTTAATCCTTTTTTATTTTATTTTTTTTAATATTTATTTTTTAGTTTTTGGCGGACACAACATCTTTGTTTGTATGTGGTGCTGAGGATCGAACCCGGGCCGCACGCATGCCAGGCGAGCGCGCTACCGCTTGAGCCACATCCCCAGCCCCATTTAATCCTTTTTTAAAAAGTTGTGGCAATGTTTCCTCTGTGCAACTCCGTCTTGCCAATGACAAAAAAAATCAATGAATTGAATGGTTTAGGGAGATTGTTTCCTTGTTCTCCCTTCCAGCTTTTGGATAATGGTTCCTGTGTATCTAAAGATAACCAAAGACTACCCCCCAAGCAAACAGCCATGTACAACTGAATTCCACAAGGGAAGGGATATTGTTCTGCCCACTGGTATATCCAAGCACCCAAGAGGTGTCTGACACATACCTTCACCCCATCCAAATCCACAGGATCAGAGTGGAATTCTGAAAAGTGGAACAAAAGACGACAGAGGGGTGACTAGAAGAAAGGGGAAGTCCACAAAGAGTTTAGGGAAATTTCCAAAAAAACATTCCCTTCATTCCCACAATGTGCTGCATTATTTGTAGAAGTTAAAAGACCAAAAGGCATCAGATTTTCAACTCTGTCATCTATACTTACTGCACAGACTTTAGGAGAAGTGCTACACCTCCAGTTTTACAATTTCAAACATCAGCTTACGTTAAAAAAAGCGTGGACACTATAGATAGCCTCTGGGTTGGAACATCACTAATGTCCTCTGTCTACTACAGTTCTCTCTGGCCCTAATTTTCCCATCTGCTTCTATTAAATACTTCACACTCTCCAAATAGATGATTTTTCAGCTCTTGACTATTTTTCTTTTTTTTAAGTAATGACCATTCACCTGAATAGAGGACTATTTCTGGCAAAGGAAAAAAAAACAAAAGTGTAAAGAAAACTAACGCTCCAGTCCACCCACAGACATCAGACCCAGGAAGGGTAGCATCAACAGGTGTTAGGAACTCTGAGAACTACTCATTAGTTACCAGTAAAGCATGAAGTTGGGCAGACACACTTCGGAATCAGAAAGTCTAGGTATGAGCCCCAGCCTTGCTCTTGGTCAAGGGTCTCACTTTCACTCCCTTGTTCTGGGATCTCACCAAACATATCTCTGTCATCTGTAAATTAGGTGATGTACACAAAGCCTAGCACAGGTTCCTGCAGATACACACTCAATAAATGTTGATTATTCTTAGCTATCTAATGATCATAAAAGCATAACAGTATGGTCTCTTATTTAAGTCTTTCAATGCCCCCCCAAAAAAGGTGTGGATGTGTGAATATGTATATTTTCCTCCAAAGGTATCAATGAAAGGTATCAATGAACCAAATACACATTGGTGTCCTGGTATTTAAATTTAAATGCCATTCTCTCCATCTACATTTCACTTAAAATTGAAAAAAGTAATAAACCTTTTAAAAAGAAACCAAAAAACAGGGCTGAAGTTGTAGCTCCGTGGTATAACACTTGCCTAGAAGTGTGAGGCACTGGGTTCCACCCTTGGCACCACAAAAAAATAAATAAATAATATAAGAAGGAAGATCCAAGTCAAGTTCTAGTTCAAGGTCCAATTGACTTGCAACTTAGAGTGTAACATGTCACCTTCATTTCTTCATTTATAAAATGGGAATAATATACTGTTCTAAGCTCTGATGACCTCAGTGACAAATAAAACTCAATGAGATAAGAGGTGATGAAAAAGATTTCACTTAAGAGAAAAAAGCAGTTAAATCCAGAGCGTGATTAATATTCAAATGCCATGCCCAATATTATAAATCAATGATGGTTCTTACATTTCAAGAACATTAGGTCTGATAACCTTTTAATCTGTTCACATGAGCCTGCTATAAGCAGGAGGAGCTAAACAGCTGTCCTTGCAGAGCTCAGCTCAGAAGTAGAGTCCATGAAAGCAGAAGAAGAGTCTACCCCTGCCTACCGGTCCAGCTTCTACTATCCTGTGCCACTTCTCAGATGCCAGCTCCAAAAGAAATTGGAAACTGGTTTTGATTCCATGTGGACATATTAAGCCAACGTTAACCAAAACACTCACCTGTGACACTACTAAAAAGACCCAAAAAGAGTCAATTCTGGCATTTATTCTTGTGCACTGAGTAGTATTAAGACCTCTTCTAGGGCATACACCATCTTTTCTTTAAAAATGCAACATATAAACCAGGAGGAAGACCTCAATTTTTCCTTGTTTGATTTTTACTTCTAGGTCCAGAGGTGTGTTTCATTTAAAAGCCTACTATTAAAATACCAGGAGAATTGGAGATTAGCATAGGAAGGGGGAGGTGCTATTCTTTCTAATTTACTAAGGAAGCTGCATCCAGACAGAGCACCTTGGCACACACCTGTAATTCCAGCAGCTCAGGTGGCTGAGGCAGTAGGATGGTGAGTTCAAAGCCAAACTCAGCAACATCGAGCTGCTAATCAACTCAATGAAACCCTCTCTCTAAATTAAACACAAAATAGGTCTGGAAATGTGGCTCAATGGTTGAGTGCCCCTGAGTTCAATCCCTGACACCAAAACAACAATAACAACAACAAAAAACTGCATCCAATTTCATCATCCCCACAGCAGGTCTCCCAAAACAAAGGAGAAAAGGAAAAATTCACTTATCATTACTGAATACCTACTATGTGCCAAGTGAGCAGTATGCTAAGTATTTTTCCCTACCTTATTTCCAAAGGTGGTTCTCTCCCTCACATCTAAAAACACGAATATATCTTCTCAGGTCGGGGAAAAATTTCTACCTGGTGGTAAAGTTTTAAGACATTTCAAAATATTAGCACTGTAAAACACAAAAAGGAGCTTTGGCTGAGGAACCAGGTCCAAGTTCTAAAAGATTCTTTCTTTCTAAGAGAAACACTCAAACATCTTTCTTATAATTCTGAAATTAACTCATGCTATTTAATACACTATCCAAAAAATTTTAAATAAAAATTTTTTAAAAATTTTTATAACCTGGAGAACAAGAAAACTCACTGTTAGATTAAAATAACCTGGCCAATTTTCTGACCTGAGTAYATGCGACAATCAGCTGTGGAATTTATAATATCCTCTTAAAGGCCCTTTAGAGATGTGCTCACAGGAAAAGGTGACCACAACAATGAACCCACATCTGGGTGGCCAGGTAATGAGAAGATGACACCTTCTTGCTGGCAATAGCAATTTGTAATAAGATGTCTTTCTCACCATAAAATCTAATTCACTCTCACTCCTGGGGTACAAGCCTAAATGATTGTCTATGTAGCAAACTGTCAAATGGAACCAAATTCACACTGGTGTTCTGGTATTTAAATTTAAATGCCATTCTCTCCATCTACATCTCATTTAAAATTGAAAAAAGTAATAAACTTTTTTAAAAGAAACTAAAAAACAGGGCTGAAGTTGTAGCTACTCAGCCTCACATAAAAATAAACACATAAATAAAGGTATTGTGTCCATCTACAACTAAAAAAAAAATTTTAAAAAGAAACTAAAAAATATCATCCACAATTCACCTTCATTTCTCGCATTAACCCATTTCATGTAAACCATAATTAATGTCTGCCTTAAACACCAACATTAAAAGAACATAAATGTGGCACACGCCTGTAATCCCAGTGGCTCAGGAGGCTGAGACAGGAGGATCACGGGTTCAAAGCCAGCCTCAGCAACAGTGAGGTGCCAAGCAATTCAGTGAGACCCTGTCTCTAAATAAAATACCAAATAGAGCTGGGGATGTGGCTCAGTGGTTGAATGTCCCTGAGTTCCATCCCTAGTACCCCCCCAGAGGTGAAAAAAAAAAAAAAAACAGAACATAAATGTGATTTGTATTCTTGGAAATTATTTCTCTGCATTCAGACTCCGGAGAAAAATTAGCCAAGATATTAGCCCATGACCCCTAATAGGATGAGGTACCGAGGTCATACCTGGGGGGCCTAAAGGACCCCTTCTTCCTAACAAACTATTATGAAAGGGCTGGATGATGCCATCCACGCTGGGCTGAGATGCCAGAAACCTGCAAGTGGGTACAAGCCTAAATGATTGTCTATGTAGCAAACAGAAAGTCATATCTGGCTTTCTGTTAACACCAGGCAAGCCCCAGATCTGTGTAGGGCTCCTCAAGGTGATTTTCAAACTAGGAATTTCTAGTGTGCCATGGACACCTCCAATAGTGTTAACCACTTTCTAAGGCAGTTAAGGAAGGGGGGGGGCGGCCCTTAGATAACAGGCCTAAGTGGCTGCCATCACCCCATTCAGTCCACCATGAATAGAAAATTTGTGTTCACTCATGGACACCTGCCATAACGACCTCAGCAACCCACACACAGTGAATGCTAGACTCCAGACAAGGTATACCCAGAGAGGATTTTACCCTTGGAGGCTGGGAATCTTCTCAGAAGCCGCAGGGAGGTTCACAGCCCCTTCCCAAACCTCTGGACCCTGCTTAAGATGAATGATCTTTATCCACGCAGCCCTTTGCCAAAAGTCTCCCCCAGCACATCAAATCCAAAGCACTCTCCCCAATACTCCCACAACAAGCGGGAAGCCTCCCATGCCTTCCCCCACTGTCCGCCTGACCTGGAACCGTGCGACCTACACAATGGAACTTGACCTAACATCCGACCCCCGGAGGTCAAAGACAGAGACCAGGAAGGGCAGGACACGCGAGGAGGGGGTTTCCTCGCAGGCGCTGCCACCCCGCGAGTAAAAGGGCTGGAAAGGGAAGCCAGAAGGAGGCGCCAAGAGTCACCCCGGGGCTACAGCCCTACGGGCGGCCCAGGAGGGAGGTCTTTGGCCACATGTCCGATCGCGGTAGTCTTTCGCGCCAGAGTCGCCGGCCGCGGCGAGCCCGGGGCCCCGGAAACCCCGAGCTCGGAGCGCAGATGGGATGCGGCTCCCTGAGACCGTTGAAACCGGTCGAGGACTCCAAGCCCCGTCCTCACCTCCGCCTCATGCTGCTGTGTCCCCCGGCGCCGGCGTCCTTGTGGCCGGCTGGGCCGCCCAGCCCTCTCCGGGACCCGCAGCTCCGCGACCCTGAGCGCCGGCCCGCAGCTTATAGCGCGGGCGGCAGCAGCAGCGGCAGCGGCAGGAGCAGCGGCGCCGCCGCCGGTGACTGGGCCTGGGCGGGCACATGGGAGGGCGGGGGCTGCGGCCCTCCAGAACCAACCACAGGACCCCAGCCCTGGGGGCGAGAGTGCTCAGTTAGTCTCTTCAGCTGGCACGGAATTCGGTCTTCAAGACTCTGTGGCTATCTCCAAACTAAGGTTTTACCAGGATCTCATGGATTATATACAAAAGGTAAAGGAGTGGAGCTGTTGCCACTCCTTCCTCCTGTTTACCCCCTTCACGGTCCATATGGTACATTCCTCAAAGGCCTTTAGGGAGGGAGAGAAGGAAGAGGTGATTGGCTGGGAATCTTGGAAGGGGGCGAGAAGCCACACAAAATAACCAATGGAAAAACAAGAGGGGCATATTAAAGCCTGCCAGATGGAGAGAAGAGAGGATGCATTTTAAAGGGGACTTGTTTGTTGCTCAGTAGCTGCTATGAAACCAAACTAAATTTTTTTTTTCCTTTATCTATCCAGAGGTGAAACAAAGAAAGCAATAGAACTTCAATTTGAAGGAAGAAAGAGATAAATGAATATAAGAGAGAACTGAATCAAATATATTTATATGACTTTGAGTAGTTAAGTAAGTTCAATTCTTGGCCTCAGTTTCCTCATCTATTCCAATGAGGATGTTGTACCACGGTTGATCTCTGATGTTTTGTGATCCTATCATCTTTGGCACAGGATTTGTAATATCTACAATTTCAGGCATTCTTCATCATCTTTAAAGAACTTTGGTTGAAAGTAGGTAGACTTTCTGACAACAAATCCTTTATAGAGACACAAGATCAACCCCATTTTTTGTAAAGACAAATTTAGTATTCTTTCTGGGACCCTCATCTCTTAAAGAAAATCATTCTTATTATGGATACACAGACACTTCCCAATATCTTATTTTCTGCTCTTCAAGAGTCAACTCTTCCTCTTCCTTCTCTCTTCCTCATAATCAGAGGAAGCTTCAATTAATAATTTTTTTTGTCTGTTGAGCTGTCCAAAATTCCTGCCTTCAGCAACAAATTCCACCAATCAGTACTCATCAGGATTGCTAAAGTGTGTCCCTATCTGAAGTCCATAACACACCACTCAACTATGCATGGCCAATAGTGCTTTCAGTCACATTGCATGTCAAATTCAAGACTGCAAAAATTCTTTGGTGGCCTACTCTATTTTAGAGCTTTACACAGAGCAGCTAGGCCTACATTTTGCCTGCCACACTTTGGACCAACTCTACTATATATATTTCATAATTGTTCAACCTCATATCATTTGGTCACTTGACCTCCACCCAACCTGATAACAGATGTTTAAGACACAACCTTTCTAATAGCACCACTCCACGCCAGAGCACTCATCGTCCATCCATTGTGCAAAGGGTCCCAGAAAGTCCAATCCTGCCGGTAATCTTCTCAGATTAGTTACCAGAAGCTACTGGTATATAAGAGCTCCCATATTGACTCTGTGCCCTCCTAAATAATTTTCCATGCTCTCTGCCCCAATATGCATTCCTTATTGACATACTTCCTTTTCTCACCAGTATATAGCCACAGCAACAGCAGCTTATGTTTATTAACTGTTTCCTATGTGCTGTGTATTGTTGGGAAGTGCTTTGTGTTCATTATTTCATTTCACCCTCATATCAACTTTAAGAAGTTCCATTATTATTCTCCTTTGTACTATCATTCCTCCAAAGAGGAAACAAAAGCTTACAGAAGCTGATTTGCCTAAGTGCACACAGAGGTCTGATTCTACTGCCAAACCTGAAAGAAAACGCTGTCTTCTGATTTTTTGTGTGTGGGGGGAGGGTGGGGAGGTGCTGGGAATTCAACCCAGGGCTTCATGGGTGCAATGCAAACACTCTACCACCAAGCCTCATCCCCGCCTGCTAATTAAAAATCTGCAGCAGGCATGGTGGGGCATGCCTCTAATCCCAGCTGCTCTAGAGGCAGAGGCAGTAGGATCATCAGTTCAAGACCAGCCTCAGCAAAACCAAGATGCTAAGAAACTCAGTGAATAAAATGCAAAATAGGGCTGTGGATGTGGCTCAGTGAAGTGCCCCTGAGTTAAATCCCCAGTAACCACCGCCCCTGAAAAAAAAAAAAAAAAAAAAAAAAAAAAAAAAAAAAAAATATATATATATATATATATATATATATATATATCAGCTGCATTCCCTTGCAAAAAAAAGAGTTAAAAAAAAAATCAACTGGGGGCTGGGGATGTGGCTCAAGTGGTAACGCACTCGCCTGGCATGCGTGGGGCGCTGGGTTCGATCTTCAGCACCACATAAAAAAAATAAATAAAGATGTTGCTTCCACCGAAAACTGAAAAATAAATATTAAAAAATTCTCTCTCTCTCTCTCTCTCTCTCTCTCTCTCTCTCTCTCTCTTTTTAAAAAAACAAACCAACTGCATTCCATAGAAAAGATGATGTCAATACCTATGTTTTACCTTTATTTCTATACCTGTAATATCATTTGAGCCTCAAAACAATCATGTATGGAGAGTTAGTACAAGTTTGTTTATAGCTCAGAGAGGCTGATCAATTTAGCCAAGGTAAGAAGGCTGGTAAATAATGGAGCTTGGTTTTCCACGTTGCAATCCCCATTCCCTGAGTGAACATAACCTTTTATTAATTTTTTTGTAGTTGTTGATGGATAGCATGCCTTTATTTTATTTGTTCATTTTTATGTGGTGCTAAGGATCAAACACAAGTGCTCACACATGCTAGGCAAGTGCTCTGCTACTGTGCTACAGCCCCAACCTCTGAACATAACCTTTTTATGTATGTAACAACCAGACAACAATTGTAAGCAACAAGGAAATAAATACAAAATAGCAAGACCTATGTCATGGGGTTTCAGGAAGTATGGTACAAGAAGTACTTACAATGGGCAGAAAACAAGAAAAGACTTCTATTAAGAAGAAGGGTGAGAAGCAAGGATAGTTGTTTCTACTGGTTTGTTGTCCATATTCTGCTCATGGGCTTATGTCTTTGACACATTGGCAAATTCAATAATAAAAGGCAACAAAAACTGTTCCCACGCCTAGAATGCTTGGCAATTAAATGGGCCCCATGTTCATGAGGAAGGGATTTCTCTGTGCAGTGCCTCTGCCAACCAGCTCCCAGAAGTTCTATTTTGTTATTCACTAAAATATCCTGCTCCACTGGCAGTTGTAACACAGCCCTGAAAATATTGACTGGGCTAATGACTTCATTCTTTCTAAACTGTTGAAATTCTCACAGGGGTGGACAAGCTAGCAAAATTGTGTGGGAGTAAGAATCCTGAGCTCGCTAATTCTGAAGCCAACTCCTGAATTGCTCTTTGCCAGTCTCAATCCTACTCAATCCAGTTAATTTCCACTCTCAGAACATGCCTGTCTTTTCTTATCCCCAGAGAGCTCTAAAATGTCTCTGCTCATCTGGGCATTTTATTTATTTGGGGGGAGGGGGCGGCACCTTCTAGAACAAAAACTGTCAGGTTGTGTGTGGTTATCCTGTGGATCACATATGAAGCACGTACTTCCTAAGTGGATAAGGGTGATAAACATCAGACCCACTCTGGTAAGGGATGAGTCAGCTTGAGTGCTTTAAAGAGTGTGGGACAGGATTCCATCCAGTTTGTGTGTGTGTGTGGTTTTGTTGTTTTGGTTTTTTTGAGACAGGATCCTGCTATGTTACCCAGGCTGGTCTAGAACTCCTGGTCTTAAGCTATTCCCCTGCTGCGGCTTCTTAAATAGCTGGGACTACAGGCGAGTGCCTCTGCACCCAGCTTGATTGTCATTATTTTGACATATATAGTTCCTGTATTTTTTTCCATGAACATGTGTATATAGTGTTTTTTTTTTTATGTATAGACCCTTTTAAAATTTTTTTGATTGTTCTGCTTTGCAACCTACAGTTAATGAACTAAGATTTTTTTCCATGCCACTATGTATTATTTGAAAACATTATTTTAAATGGATGTGTCATATGGCTATACTTTATGTTATTTAACCAAGATTTGATTTTTGGTCATTAAGATTATTTCCAATTTTTCATTATTATATGTAACTTCAAGGGTTATCTATGTATGTGTCTATATATTTCTATAAGTATTTCCTAATATTTCTAAAAATAGAATACTTGATCAAAGAATATACACATTTTAAAAATACCTCATGTACATTGCCAAATTATCTTTCAGGAAGTTAATACCAATTTATTCCTACCATCAATGTAGATTGGAGATATTTGTCTGAACCCTCACCAATCCTAAGCATTTCTCTTCTTTTGTTATCTTTGCCAATTGGCTAGATGAAAAAAATTATCTATTTTAACTACCTGAAGTGTAGTGAAGGCTTTATTACTCTCCCCATTCCTGATATAGTTTAGATGGAATTTACCACAACCCCCCTCTGGACTTAAAGTGAATGCAGGTAACTATAGGAGCTACTGATAGCCATTGTGAGTTATGAGATTCAGTCCTCCCTTTCCAAGCATTCCAAATATCAGACCCATTACTGCCATGTATTCAGTTTATTATGACCCCCACAGGTGTTCAGCTTCAAAGTAGCTCCAGGGAAATCCCAAGCTGTTTGTGGCCTAAAGGCTCCCAAAATGCCTTAGACAGGATATGAGAGTAGAGAAGGAGTTGCACAGTGGTTTGGAACAAATTTGATTCCAGAGATTCAATCATTGTCACAGAGACTTCCTGAAGACATAGGACAGGATAGGTTTGATGTCTTTGCACATCTTCTATATAGAAGGATTGGCTCAGAGCCAACCCAATCTGCTGCAGAGAAGCAGAGGGGATCCATGGACTGGGTGTTGCAGAGCTGCAAGATTTAATCCTGGGTTCTGGAGTTTATTTCTAGGCTAACGTCTCACCAAAAAAATAAAAATAAAAAAGTAGAAATATTTTACTTTCTAACTAGTTTCTGACTGATTTGCAAGTTTTCATCCTGTAAGCAGAAAGGAAATTAAAATGCAACTTGACAAAATTGCAAATGTTCTTCTGCAT